AGACTAACATTACGTGTTCTAAAAAGTTGCAAATTATTTGCTTAATATTGAGACCCAGTGTATTAATTCTAGGCACCTGGAAATCTGAAATATAAAATAACCTTCAGGTAAATAACACTTTCAATTCCCTGCAACTTTTAAAATATTATGTAACTTTGGTGAAGATGAGAGACCTGCTGAATCAAAGATATTGCTAAGCCAAACAAGATCTAACAAACAAAAGAAGAAACTGTCATGTCTGAGTCCATTTATTTTTAACCCAATCCTAACCAAGCATAAGCACTAGAATGAAAATATTTGCACTTCTCTAGCACCTTTCATGCAAGGATCTCAAGGCATTTTATGAACACTAAGTCTCACAACACCCCTGTGGGCAAGTATTATTGTAACTCTTTTACAGATGGGATGATTGAGCCATAGACAGGTGAAAAGGTTTGCCCAAGATCATAAGTAAGTGTGGCAGAGCAAGAAACAACCCAGTAATTGTTACCCCACTTCCCTGCTCTAACCACTTGACAACTCCACCTTTCAGTGCAAGACCTTCGGGGGGCAGGGCGGAGACAGCATTTCTGGTACACAATGGTTCCAAAGTTAATGTTTACACATTAATGTCTGCACAGATATTTTTAACCCTTGGACCTCAATTTTTGTGTGTCAGCAGCAATCACATGACTGCAAGAGTGTGAGTGAAGCCTGGGCGTTAAAAGCTAGAATATAGCTCTTCACTGTGTATGAAATCAAATACTATCTTGGTCTAAAGGGGAAGTCTTCTAAGTCTGGAACTGGCAGCTGACAAAAATTGCGTGTGGCACAATTGCTCCCTACTTGCAAATGTTTCATAGTGATAACTACACTAAGTTGAATATTCTCATGTTATCAACCATCTTCTTTGTGTTCCACACAAAAGGCTTATAGCTCCTGTGCAAGTGAACAATGATTTTTCACAGCTTTACTAGCAATGTGTAATTCTCCGTAAAACACTGATCTTATGTTAGAGTGCAACCTGCAAGACTCTTGCTTCCCAAGATCATAGGGTTTCTGGGAACGTAATAGTAAAAAACAGCCTCAGTCTAGAACCATGTGAAGCCTTGTAGCCATGTTTGAAGCAGTTTTCAAAGGAACATAGAAATTGCCATACCAGATCAGCCTGAAGGTCCAGCTAGTTCAGTATCCTGTCTCTAACAGCAGTTAATACCAAATGGTTCAGAGGAAAGTGCAAGAAATTCCATAATGGAGAATTATGGAATAACCTGCTCACAGAGGAAATTTCTTCTGAAGCCTAGTTAGCCAGGCCATAGCTACACTAGCAAATATGTTTCAAAATTCCAACCATTGTTTCAGCTGGCATCTGACAGCTAAACTTTACTAGATTCCTATAATATGTTCACTTTTCTTTGGGGACTACAGCATACTTTTGTCCTGGGTTATAGTATTAAGCACATTTCATTTTATATAATATATTATGTAAAAATTAGGCATTTGCTGTGTTGCAAAATGGATGTTATGTGTACACCTTAACTTTCAAATTATCTATGTACAGACAGCAAAGAGAAACCATTTTGACAGTTTTTAAAATGCATAGAACTAACTTTTCCAGTTAGTAAGTGTTTAAATAAATAAATAAATAAATAAACAGGACAATGTCCTCCCTTTTTTCTTTTCAGGCTAATAGTATAACTTCATATTATTCATAATTTTTGTTGGGAGATGAGTCATAATTAAGCAACTGGACTAGGAACATTTCTAACAGGAACTGCTCCAAAGCTGCATTGTGAGTATGCACTTAGGGAGGAAGAACTTGTAATTAGACACTTGGACTAGGTTCTATCTGTTCAACTCCCTTTCCAAACCTCTCATATACTGAAGTAGGTTGCATAGCCCACATCTAACATAGCACAGAATTTAGTTAGTTAATTCTCATATAATACTGAAAAAGGTAAAAATGAAATGGATTCCTTGTTGAGGAGTAGTCTATAATTCTGAAGGCATCTTTTCTAAAAGCTCAGGATTTATGTAAATTTCCCTTTATGAGTAGCATGTGAGAATGGAGCAGACATATAAAGCAGGGCAAAGCAGTAGGAATGTGTGTCATCTAGTGTCACAGGTGCTTGAAATTATGGGGAAGAAATGTTCACTGGTTTGTTATTATATGGTTATAACAAATGATTCATGCCATATATATTTAAGTCTAGCAATACAAGGAAGGAGATGGGACTTAACCCCAGGGAAAAATACCACTGAGAAGACTAAAAGGTGGTTTTCTATTTCTCAACAAGCTCAGATCCTTGTTTAAAGACAAAATACCTTTTTGGACTTTAAATCTGCCAAGACACTTCTAGACATAGTCAGACTGGAAATGGGCAAGCTGTTTTGGCAATTAAAGCTGATGAAATTCCACAAGAGCACTTGGGCCTGAACTCTGCTTAACAGTACATGTTTTTAGCTTCTATATGCCATCTCTTTTTTGTATATTTAATACTGGGTGGTCTCCCCTTCATTCAACACAAATTTTAGGGTATCAAAATTACATTTTAATCTCAGTGTTTAAAAAAATCCCCATGTATATATCTATAAACAGTTATGAAACATACCCTTTAAGAAACCCTACTACTCAGAGGAGAGGCTGTTTTGACTGGAACATTGCAGTAGTTGTGTTTATAATTACACTTCAAACACTTTATCAACACCCAGTAAAGCAGACAATAAGCCTCTGAAGTAGTTAAATCTCATCACTAGTTTACAGATGGGAGAAATTAAGCATAAGAGAGATCAAGGCTGCAATCTTGTGGAACGTGGACCTCTAAGCACATGCCCAACTTTACACATGAGTAGTTCCATTGACTTCAGTGGGACTGTACCTGTCCATAGAGATAAACACCCATAAATGCTTTTAGGAATGGAGCATAAGCAAATTGCCTGAGGTTACACAACAGAACAATAGTAGAACTGGGAATGTAACCCAAGAGTTGTGATGCTCAGTATTCTGCTCTAGACACCTAAGTAACATTTCCTGTTTTGTTACTGGTAAGTTTGAGGGTTGAGTCCTGAACTTCAAACACAGGATGTAGGATTTTTCAAAACACATTTGAATAGTTATTATACAAACAAAAATAAACAAAGACATAGTTACCTGAGTTACTTCACATTATACTAACACACATCAAGTAACTCATTCTCTTGAATCATAATCACCAACACTATCCTTACTCTTAGTAACTACTCATAACCACCCAATTCTGAGGGGGTGGAGGGGTCACTTTTTTTTCTTAAACAAACACGTTTCCCAGCATGCACTTCCTCACATACCTGGCAATTTAAATCCTGGAGGAGACAATTACTGACCTACAGAGGAAAGTTTTGAAGCTATAAGGAGCAACTTATTTTCTTTGGTTTATTAAGCAATTGGTCTTATTTTTCTTTTTTAGCTTTATCAGTACACATACAGACAGGATTTTAAGCCACCTTTTTTCTGTGGGTTTTACTGGGTATATTTTAAAGAGTTTGTTTGGTCTTTATGGGCTTCATTATAACTAGTTAGGCAAGAAGAGAAATCCTCACATGTGACTTAATGTAATAAAGTACAGGAAAATGCATGTGGGACTGTTAATGGAAAAAGACTGGTGTATCTGTATACTTACTTTTGTGCCATTAGGAAAGCAGGTCTTGTTGCTAGGTCACTAAACTGGGATGCAGGAGATCACTTAATCTCTCTGTACCTTAATCCCCAGCTGTAAAATAAGAATAATACTTTTGTTCCCCATCCTTGCTTTTGCTTATTTAGATTAAACTCATTGGAGTAGGGACTATCTCTTACTATAGATTTGTGCAATTGAGTTCCAATCTGTTGGGGCTATGGGCATTGCTGCAATACAAATAAAACCCTACAGGGATATCTGTGTTTGATTATATTAGATTATGTCACTGCTTAGTTTACCACCAGGACTCAGAAACCAACAGAGAACTACTTCCAACTTCTTGCTTAGTAGCTTTTTCTCCAAGATCCTGAAAGTGAATAGGTTTCTTATATCTTTAAAAATAAAAAAACTCTGACTATTGTCATGTCCTTTTCTTTCTTCAAGCCCAACTTTCTTTTGGGGAGATAATTTATTCTCATGGTAAGTATGTTCACTTTATAATAAAAGGAATTGTTTTCTTTGCAAGGGCACCTTTGCTTAGGCTAGGCTCAAAATTTAACTTTTTAAAAAAAGTTGGTGACCCTTTACAAAACCTAAACTGCTGGAAAGGTTGTCCTGACACGGAGACTGTTACCCTTGGATTTAAACATTTCCCCTATAGAATCATAGAAATGCAAGGCTGGAGAGACCTCCAGAAGCTAAGTCCAGCCCCTGTGCTGAGGCAGGACCAAATACACAAATGAAACGCTGCAGTATGGAGCCTGGGAACCAGAAAGTGAAACTGACCACTCTGCGTTTCATGGTTCCGAAGACAGAAATAAATTGCATAACTAGAAAACTTCACTTGGCCTGATCCCCGATCTCCTCATCCCCTCCTTATCTCCCTCTCCCCCCCATCGTTTAATGAGAGGCTAATTAAAGAGCTTTTGTGTGAGATGGGCTGGCTCTGTCTGGTGGACATGAATCCTGGGATGGTGCTGGGGATGGCTAGTGTAGTGCTAAAGCTCCCGCGCTTAAAACTACCAGGAGCTTTACACCACAAATAACGCTTCTTCCTCAACTCTGAGAGCCCCCCTCATGCTTACTCCCTTTGTGGCCCCTGCTTCCCGAACCCCAGTGCCCCTCACCTTCTCTCCCTCCCCGGCTCCCGCACTTGCCCCTCACCGCTAGTGCTGCTTCACCCCACTTCCCTCCCCTCCTCCCCCACTGCCCTTCTTACTGCCCTCCCCTCCTCCCATGCCGCCTCATGCTCCATCTCCTCAGTGCCCTTCTCACCCTCCTCAGCCGCCCTGGGCGCGGGGCGGGGCCGGGGGCCGGCCCAGGAGGCGGGGCGGGACCGGCAGCCGGGGTTTCCCGGCCGGGCCGCACGGGCGGGGCGGTTACCGCGCCCAGGCTGGCTCCGCTTCCCGATGGCTGCGGGGAGCTGAGCGGGGACCAAGCGCGCAAGGAGGAGCCGAGAGCCAGGGACCCCCCACGAGCCGCCACCTCCCCGGGATCGGCCAGACGCAGCGCGGGTGGCTTCCCCCAGCCCGGTGGGGACGCAGCTGGAGTGGGCAGGGGCCGCGGGCGGCGGACACAGCGGCCCCGTTAATGAGCAGCGGCCGGAGGGGCAGGTAAGGGCCTGGGGACCCCTTCCCGCGGAGACTCCCTCTGCACTGGCTGCCGCTGCCCCACTCCCCATGACTCTTCTTCCTGGGTCTCCCCGCCCCTTTCACCCCCTTTTCTTCCTCTCCTGCTCTCTGCCCCCCCATCAATCCCTCCCCTTCACTAGCAGCCGCCCCGTGCCCCCGATCTCCCCTGCCCCCGGCTTGTCCAGCGCCTACTAGCATAGAGAGATTGAAAATACCCCCCTTCAGCTTCCCTAGCAAGTCTCTCTGTAGCTGCTGGAGGAGGAAGAGGTGGGGGTAGGAGTGGGAGACAGTCTTTCTTTTGAAGGGTTTTTTAAGACAAGAAGGGAAGAGAACCCGGGGTTTTGCAGGGTTCCATTTTTAATTGCAATTAGGCTGGAGTGATTTACACTAGGCACTGTGCTGTTCTTTGTGTGTGTGTGTGTGTGTGTGTGTGTGTGCGCGCGTTAAGGTATAAAGGTGAGTTGGCAAAGAAACCGAGCCCTACAGAGGGAGTGTTGCGTGGGGGGGGGGGTCTCAAGAAAATGCTGTGGTGTGTGTCTGTGCTGTAATGGTGGAAAATTGAGGCGACAAGGGTGAGACAAACAGGGTAAGACTGCTCTTAGCAGCCCCTAGCCCAGAAAAGGGAATATCTGAGGCTTGGAGGATGGGTTCACCCTGTTTTTTGCTGTGGGAGGAAGGGTGGGTATGGTCTGTAGTCTTGTTAAAAAACATAGCTAAGGGATATATCTAGCTTGCATATTTGTTGTTCCTCCATCTGTTATGGTGCTGCATATTTTTGTGTCCCTGTAAGTGTAATATCAAAGATCATGGAGGATGTTTGCTACAGCAGAATAAGGGAGTTTCTCCATGGAAGAAATGTTAAAAATATTAAAAACAACTCCCGCCCCCCAAATTCACAGTTTAGTTATGAAAAGGTTTTCAGTACATTTTTTACCCATTAAAGGTGTTTTCAAAGTAGCTTTTTAAATTTCAATTCTAAAACTGCATATAAAAATGAAAAAGATGTACAGTCATGTGTATATTTTAAGTAATGAATATGAAATTAGGGAATAGGCAAGACTTTTTTTTAAAAAATCTTGTCTAGAAAAGAGTCAGGATGACATAGAGGTTATTCCAAGATGTCAATTCATCACTTGTGAAGATTAGCTGAAATTTTAACAAATGTGGTTTTTCAATATTCTCTGAACAAGTCACTACTTGGGACTCATTTCAAATAAGGCATCCTTTCCATGATGTTAACTGCCACATTCTTAGGTATTGTCTACACACTAGAAACAAAGAGGAAAGAACATCTTACAATAAAAGGAAGCTTTAAAAAAAAATCCAGCAAAATTGTTCTTACAGATAACTGACTGAACTCAAGGGGAAGGGATTTAAAACTGAAAATGAAATGAGAGACAAAACATTTTGCAGTTTGATCATTTCTGCACTTAGTCGTTGGAGGCTTATTCCACATTTTGAAGCTTGTTTGTTGAGCACAAGGATGTGAATCAAGACAAAGTGCTGTCGATTTATATGTAAAATGTATGTGAAAAAAATAAGATTGCACTGAGATCTAAACTCTTCTTAAGTGCTATGCATCAGTCTTTTTAGATAAGAGTGTATTTTTGGGGAGCGAGGTGATAATAGTGCAGTTGTTTTTGGTGTCTGCAGCTTACCGAGGGTGTGTGTTTGATTTTCTTTTTGCTGTGAATGAATGGATCCTTCTGTGCCTGGGCCCAATAACTGCAACAAGATGGCGTTTGCAGCAAGGCAGCTCTCTCATTTTCAACTCCTCCTCATCATAGCTCTGCCAAACTAGATCTTATTCCTTGTATTTTGGATGTCTTTTGTTTTTCGCTTGCTTTCTCCTATTTTTTTGTGGTGGGTAGGGGTTTGGGGGACTGGTAAAACAAACGTTTTTCTTCCTGTTTTAATTTTTGTAGGTTTTCCCCCAAATATATGGGAGGATAGACTAAGTGGGAGGAGTAAATAGTTTTATTGAAATTTTCACATAGGCTGTGACTGGATAAAACAGTAACGTGATTTTGTTCTACCATCTAATGCCCGTTATAATGGCATTTAGGAACGTTTTTCTTTTTTCTATTTTAGCCACAAATAGACTTTAAAAAAATTTTTTTTTTCCATAATCCAGAATGTGTATATAAAATCCTGTATGAATGGCTTTGTAATGAATTGCCTGTATGAATTAGACTTGTTTTACCAGTCTAATAATAATAATCAGACCCCAAGTAGTCATTTTTGTGATACAAAGGAGAAGCTCCCTTCTGCTTGAAAATGTTCAGATGATTTGTGGAGGCTTTTAAAACTGCATTTGACCTGAAATAGTTGTCATACTTAGGTCATTATTCTTTCCATTATTGAGAGGTGGAAGAAAAAGGTTATTTGGATATTAAAACCTTTTTCTGTGTTTTATATGGTACACGTCATACTTTAAAATTACATTATATTTTTTTTAAAATGTCATCTTGTATATTCCTGAAATGTATAATTTTCCTATTGGTAGTTTATGATGATGTTTTTTATTTATACTGGTGTTAAACTTATTTCTAATTTAAACACCCTCAATAAAATAAACTCTCTAGTTAGTACTTAATAAAATAGATTTACTCCTAAGCATTTTCAAATGACTGTTAACAAGTTTAAAATACATATTACACTATTCTACAAATATTTTGCTGCTTTATAATATGTCTTTTGTGTTCAGATGACCTCTAAACTCTTGATAATGGATCAGGAGTTTTAGTACTGCTCTATGGATTTATTTTTCTATAATCCATCATTTGCCATTGGTTATACTCTAAATAACCAATCTGTTTTATAGCTTACTTTTGTATTGGGCTTTTGTATTCCATTTTTGTGTTTTGTATTGGAAATGCACAATGTTAGCATTTTTCAAAATGAAGATAAATATTGACGAAATGAACTACATCTATATAATTAGTTCAATAAATCATTTAAAGGACATTTCTTTAAGAACCTGTCAGTGTTAAGTATCAGTTTTTGAATATTTATCTTTTTATGCCATTGAATTTGAAACTAGCTTCACGAGTATTTTTAGTATTTCTGGTTTTTCATGTTAAGAACAAGAACTTTATTTTTCAAGTAGGTTACTGTATTGGGCGACTAAGATCACTTGTATTTATCCCTGCTTAGTCCTTGTAGCTGCCAGGTCATTGTGTAGCAAGCATCCTTTCATGAAATCTTTGTTGGTGCCTCAAGTTCAGAATCCACTGTAAATCCAGCTGGAACAGCTTTGAGGCCATACCCTCACTTTGAGGAAAATACTTGAAGATGGAATGTTAAACCTAATGAGAATTCACAATGTCTTAAGCTAAAAAAGCTAGCAGTGTTTCCCACCATTTGAATGCATAACCTTATCCAATTGTGAACATTTAGTAAAGCAATCTTAGTTTTCATTGTTCCAGTTTTTAAATTTATTTTCCTTATTCGTGCATTAATATCCTTGGAAATTAGCAATTACTGTGGAATATGAAGAATAGTTTGACTTTTGGTTGTTGTATACCTAACATGTAAATGTGATTGCTTTGGAATATATTCATTAACAATTGTGTGTGTGTGTGTGTGTGTGTGTGTGTGTGTGTGTGTGTGACACCCTTCCCCCAAACCAAACAAGATGTTGCTGGCTATTGTGTGTAAAACAACTTCCTGGTGTTCTAAAAGTTTAAATTAGGTCATGTAGGAAGCAACTAACTGATCTTCCTTAGCAGTTACATTTTGAGTTATGATTTCTCAACCACAGTGTGAAATTAGATACCAGTAACTATAAGAAATCAGAATGTAGGGATATAAACTGTATATATAACTTTGCTGAAATTTGTGCTTTTTATGTAGTTCCTTTAAGAAGGGTTTTAAGTTAAGTCCCTTCAGAAAGCTGAGATCCAGAAATATATCCTTAACAAAGCAAGATAAATTATCTTTCTTTGTTAGGTTGATTCCCTGCAACTTCCAGGTTAAGGGTATAGAAGTATTAAGGAGGTGATGCATTTACTAATTGAGTTTATTCTTGTGATTTAAATTTGTATTTTGTTGCTTTCTGCTAAAATGACCGTAGGTAGGGCTTGGCTCATGTTGCAGTCTTTGAATTGGATTAAATTCTTACTGTCCATGGATTTTGGCTTTCAGCATTAGTGGATTGGTAATTGATATTCTCAATTTTAATATCCAGTTTTAGCCATATGGCATACCATATTGTTTTGAGACTCCCATTTAGCAACTAGTTTGATACTAACAAATGGAAATGTGAAATCATGTAGTCATATGGTTGAATTACTATTAGACAAAACTTCTTAGGACTCTTTCTGCCCCCCCTTCACTCCCCCCCATGCTTACACTGACTAATGCCAACATTTCTTGCCATAACATATTAGTGGTTGTGGTAGGGAGACCGTTGATAACCCTGGAAGTGACTTGCTTGTGGTAGTTAGATTCTGTTACTTTGATGGTCAGGATAGGGTGGAGAGCAAGGGTGTTTTCTAACCATAGCCTTAAGTGAAGGCTAAAAAATAGTTTATCAGATTGAAAATCTGGTTTTATTTCTTGGAACCAAAGTTTCAAATTTACTTTTAAAAAGTTATATATGGATCAGTTTAATGTTGGATCACAATTTAATATATCTCCAAAGGGTATGTGGTGGATCTATGTTCATTTTTCAGCTTTCTCAGCTGAAATGTGTTTGGTGTGGTTTTTTTTGCATTGACCAAAAATATATACACAATCTGTACGTACTTGAGCCAATTGGTAGTTTAGCACAACATTAAAAGATTTTTAAAAGCTTTGAGCTGACTGTTAACTGTGTCTTTGATTACTTTGAAACATTTATGCATATTTTTGAATATATACATTTTTTGCTTGCATTGGGAAGCCTTCTAAGGTAATTCACATTACCATTAGATGCAAAAGTAGATTATTATATTTTTATTACAGCACTGTAAAAATTAAGGCCTTGTTTATTGTGGTTT